CTGAGCCATCCAGGCGCCCCTGATGGTGCTTGTTCTTAATGCCCCTGACTCCTCTGAGACTTTGAGGCTCTGTCCTCTATAATTGATCCTCACTCCCTCTCTCCATCAGTCTCCCACCCCTAGCTTGATACCCCTCCACACTAGACTTGTGACCCCAGCATCACAACCAGACCGTTACCTACCCGGCCTAAAACCTCTTCCAGCAACTCCTGCAGAAATCGTTCCAGTCCCATTTGTTCCCAGGGCCCCGTGGCTGACTCCGGGAAAGTCAGCGCTGTGCTATAGCAGGGGTGAGCACACCTTTGGAGAGCATCCTTGTCTCAGCCTGACATGATTCTGTCTTGACTCCTAGGGCCTAGAATAGAACCTCTGGAATCGTAGCACCGTGGGCAATTCACTATGGGATACTGAGTTGTTGCCTCTTCAAATCCACAGATTGAACCCCTGGATCACATTCGATCAGTTATGCAATACTTATTAAGCGCTGGCTGGGTGCTCAAGACAGCTTCACTATGGGATGGAGCAGTAAACAAACTAGCGTTTCTGCGCTTAGGGAGTTTCTAGTCTAGGGAGAGGCGCAGACAATAAATGTGATATAGAGATGAAATCGAGAATGTTCTGGGTGGTAGTAAGGGCTGGAGAATAGGTGAGGACAAATGCATTCAAGGACATTGCTGGTGAGAATATAAAACAGCACAGCTGCGGGGCGCCTGGGTGGCGCAGTCGGTTAAGCGTCCGACTTCAGCCAGGTCACGATCTCGCGGTCCGTGAGTTCGAGCCCCGCGTCAGGCCCTGGGCTGATGGCTCGGAGCCTGGAGCCTGTTTCCGATTCTGTGTCTCCCTCTCTCTCTGCCCCTCCCCCGTTCATGCTCTGTCTCTCTCTGTCCCAAAAATAAATAAAAAACGTTGAAAAAAAAAAAAAAGAAAAAAGAAAAAAAACAGCACAGCTGCTGTGGAAAACAGTTTGGCAGTTCGTCAAAAAACTTAGAATTACTGGCTGCCTGAGTGGCTCCGTCGGTTAAGCATCCACCTTCGGCTCAGGTCACGATCTCGCGGTTCATGAGTTCGAGCCCCACATCGGGCTCTGTGCTGACGGCTCAGAGTCTGGAGCCTGCTGCGGATTTCGTGTCTCCCTCTCTCCCTGCCCCTCCCCTGCTCAGGCTCGGTCTCTCTCTGAAAAATAAACGGTTTAAAAAAAAAAAAAAAAAACTTAGAAAAACACTTAGAATTACCATGTGCACCAACCATTCAGAGCATCATAAAAGGTGGAGTCAACCAGTGTCCATCGACAGATGAGTAGATAAACAAAATGTGGCATAGCCACACAAAGGGATATTATTCAGCCTTAAAAAGCAATGCTATTCTGATCCGTGTTACAACATGGATGAGCCTCGACAATATTATGCTAAGTGAAAAGCCAGTCGCAAAGGGACGCTTGCGGGAAATACCTAGAAGAGACACATGTATAGAGGTAGAAAGTAGATTAGAGGTCACTAGGGACTGGGGGGAGGGGAGGCTCGGGAGTTAACTGCTTAGTGGGCACAGAGTTTCTGTTTGAGGCCATACTTGTCAGTTTGCTGCAAAACCGAGTACCTTAAACTTCAGTTTGTGTCTCATTGTTCTGAAGGCCAGAGTCCCAGATTAAGGTGTCAGCGGGACCATGCTCCTTCTGAAGTCTCTAGGGAAGGATCTGTTCCAGGCCTCTCTCCTGGCTGCCTATAGTTCCTCGGCTGGTGGCAGCAGGACCCAAGCTTCACTTGGCCTTCTTGTGTGTGTATCCAAATTCCCCCTTTGTTAGGATACCAATAATACTGGATTAGGGGCTCACCATACTCAACTATGACCTCGTCTTTTTTTTTTTTTTTTTT